ATCGCCGAACTATTTAAGCTGGCCTTTCCTCAGTGACCGAAGTGGGCTATCTGTATAACTGAGCGTGTACTGTGCCAAGTGTAATTATATCATCCTACTGAATTCCCTGGTTTGCTTAAAATTTAGCTCGTGCGTCCAAGTTTTCCTCAGTCATGTCTAATTTAGAATTTGATGAAATAAGCACACAGTTGCAACAACAGAACTTAATAAATCAAACAAAAATCCTGAACGCGATACATTATAGTGATGAAAGATAAGCAATGAATTATAGAGGGTAAAATAACCATCGTTCGGCAAGTTACGCAGGATGACTTGAGTGAGGAATGCAAATCAAATAGAAAAAGATGACAAGAAATATGGGGAATCCGGGTGTTACGTTGCACATTAGACTAAGAAAATGAACATTTTGCAAGTTCTCTCACCGCTACATAACAGAGGGCGCTAGTGCGCGCACTACTGGTTTCGTGTTATTTCGCTTCCAAATTAAACGGTATATGACACATTGCCAATAGGATAGCATATCATCAAGGCGTCTTTGAATAGCGATCATATAGGGACAAAATAATACTGAATAATTGAATAGAAGATAACTAATAATAAAAGGAGCAAGACAAACATAATGTCATGCTTTGCTTATCTAATGTGCAGTTAATGAGATCGTGGATGGGGGAGAGGCTAAACAGGATGTGGAATTATGACAAATCGCACAACACATACGCCACTGTGGTCGACACCTTATCATGCCGGCCGGTGTATTGAAACAAACAGTGTCATTGCTTTCGTATCTTAACCAGAAATTGTGGATAATTTATCCGAAACTATGTTTGAAATCACTACCTTGATTCCTCGTAAACAAATCAACTGTTGCCCCAACACCTTGTCCTCTATATACATCTCGTCGGACCAAACAGCGCACGTTGCAAACGATAGTGTTCAGCCATGCGTAACACATGGTCGGGTCATCGATTCCTGGTGCGTGAAATAACGGTGGTGTTGAAGCCTAACAAAGGAAATGTCTGCAAACTAATCGTTCAGCACGGTTAATAATATATAGTCTACATGTTTCTGCTTGGTTTCGGCTTGTAATTCACGCTTCAAGCAGCACAAATTGTTTATTGGATTATTCTGTCTACGAAAACGATATGTGCGTTGAGCCACTTTTCTTAATTAGATTATGTAAGACCAACAGAGCATACAAAGCAGGAAGAGCCCTAAAGACGAAGCGCCAAGTAATACCAGGCAACAAATAGCTGCTATCAGAGGGAAGAAATATAAGTATAAGCAAACGGCAAGCATTTACCAATAAGCATTTTCTTCTGTAACAGCACAGGAGCGCGGATCTGTAAGGCAAGCGCGAAGTGCCGCTATAGAAATGGTTTAAAATTAGTTCGATCACTGACTACACCATATCCTCACTACTCGGATAACGTCCCTGATGCCTGACCGTGACCAACTTGTGCATGCAAACCTTATTCAGCAGCTACCTCTGAAGGAGTGTCGGCCGATTAGCAATCCATTTGGCCTGCCCCTTGACGAAATGGCTTGCGGCAGTTATATTGCAGCTACAAGAGCTAGCTCTCCGTGTCATTGGATCTATACATTTCTCACTTGCTAACATCATTAACGTAATCACTTACATCCTTAGTGCAGAAGCCGTCATTTTTAGTGCGGACGCTTTCCTCCTTAATGCGAAGGCTATCATCCGAGAATCATCCACGTAGCATCCACGTAGCACTGCGTGGGCAGAGGCTACCAGCCAGTAGAATTCGGTTTAGCGTAGAGAACGAACACGGTTACGCGTAGAATACTCACGCTTTCGGAAGTGGGTAGGAAAACTGAGACTTGTGTGAGACTAGCGTTGTCCAACTCAAATGGACGACAATTGAGACTTTACTAAACGGAGCTCAGCCGGTGCACAGTGTGCCGCACATTCTTACTGGACAATGGAGGTATCTGAGACATCCATCGGAGCGCACACAGTCCCTGAGGGAAGAGATACGCGTGCGCTCATAGAACGGGGTATAGGCATGAAGTGGAGTCAAACCAATTTCGTAAGTGAGCAAAGGAGATGTCTGAGGCTAGGGCGCAAGTAATGCACGCAGGACAACAGTACACATCGTTGGCTTGGTAATAAAAAGATGCTCTAAACAAGAGATGCAGATAGGTTGCCTCGTTTTGGTGGGTATTCAGGCTAGTTCAGTCGGATAGTTGAAGGCGCAGCAGAAGCTGCCGCTTGACGTCGAAGTCAAGTTGTCCGTAACATAAAGAGCGGAACGATCTCCGTCGCAGCAGAATGGATACCAATCACTACACGTAACTTCTTTCTTTATGCGATGAAATACCACTTTTGTGACGATTCCACAAGTCTCAGTTGAACGAGGGGTAGAAGGTAATCGTGTTTCAAACAATTCGCCCACTACGAAGCACACAGGTCGAATATGATCGAGGTAGACAGGCTAGTTCCAAGGTGGAATGATGGAGACATGAAGGAGGCATGTGATAGATGTTTGCTTGCAGCCATGCAATTTCCTTTCAAAGGATATGTGAAACGGTGAATTAAATTACTTTCCTCCTTGTTCCACAGGTACGCAGACCGTGCTTGGTAGTTGTTCTTCGGCCCGCTGAGGATGTTTGTTGAACGTTTAAATTTAGATTGTTTTGAGTGAACAACTTTAAGGTAACCCTAATTGAACACGCCTTGAAAATAAAATCCAGTTAAACCAAATATAGATATATAATGACATAATACGTTAACTCACTAGAACCCTAAATTACGGACAACCATGAGCGTGTTCCTCTGCAACGATACTGCTCCATCAGAGGGAAATAGAAGACAATGAAGCTTGATATGTGCTGCCCAGTTGCAAATAATTGGATTGCCTTCTTTCCGCTGCTGACACTGCAGAAAACCTCGCTTCACACACTTAGGTTGTCAAAAATGGCAATTTACGCGTAATTCACCATGACTTCAATTGCAGAACATCGGCGAAGTTGTTTGTCACGAACGTACTATCAAGGTCGCCGTCATTTGCAACCTCAGTAGGAGTAGATAATGTAGAATAGATGAGGAATAATAACCCCATAATCTCACAGATTGTGAGTTAAGAGTTTAGAAACTGACCTGCAAATCGTCGAAATCCAAGACCTTTAAAAATTATTGCACACATTTTTATTGTTATAGCCATTACCCACCAGATGAAAAAATATCAAATATAGAGTTCTGTTGCTTGGCAATCGCAATGAAAGAAAGTTAGTTTTTCCCTCACGTCCAGAAAAAGTGCAAGCATGCCAGCGTGCCCGCTATGTATTGCGTAAGAGAGCGAAATATCAACATCACCCTGTGCGTCCGTGAATGCATATGCTTTCAGAACTTTTGTAGTATCCTGTTCCTGCTGGTAGTCTGGTTCATTTTTCACATCCTCAGCTGTTAAAGTTGATGTGGTAGGCAGGTCCCCATTTATTCTGGTTGCGTGACATGTGTGGAAATAAGAATCAACCGGATGGCTGTAAGCCAGTTTACATCCAAGCAATTCCTCTAAAAGAGTCTCCATAGCGATTGCGTTTGTAGGGGGCACAATTAGCTTATATGTCTCAAGTCAAGTTTGCATTGTTCTCTCAAATCTATTTCTGCAATACAAGAAAACTCCGCTTTAGAAAAGAGATGTTTGATTTCGGCACCGCCATCCAAGTAGAAGTTATGTAGAACACGACGTCTAATAAATTTACTCGTTACATGAAACCCGTTCCGGACATATCATTGTGGGATTCCATGATCGTTATAAGATTGGGAAGCTGCTTTTTCGTAAAGTTCGATTTAAGCGCATGAATGACATCCTGGTCGTGGGGATGACGTAACACAATGGTGTTGGGTGACAGTAACTGCAATTTGATATAAAAGGTGGAAGTAGGGTGGGTAGAGACTTTGTCGAGAGCAAGTAGGATGTTGCGTTTTCCTGTATTTTACTGTTAAATAACCGGAAATAGCTGCAGTTATCCATGCCAATAATTCATGCATGATTGCTCAGCAAACACAAGATGGATTACCGAAGAAAGCCA